ATGCTCTCCCGTGTTTTAAATGCACCTTAGAACAACACGCAACAACACTACACATGAGCGAGAGGAGGGAGGTTTGGGGTTTTCACACACCCCTGTTCTCTGCTGGCCATCGGGGCGGCCGGTAACTGATGCCCTCAGGGGTCGGTGGGTTGGTGGTTCTTGGTGTCCGGGGCTGGGCGCTCAGGTATGTACTAGCTCACTCCCGGTGACTACTTGGCAGGGCCTGGTGCCTGTTGCCCGGTCAGGCCTCTTCCAGGGCAAAGGGGGCCCTCGGGCCTCCGGCCTCTGGGCCTGCGGCTCGGTTCACTCTGGCACAGCTGGCTGCCGGCAGAGCCGGCGGGCACGCCACTGCAGCCCCCTCTGGCTTCTGCTCCGTGGCTACTGGGTGACCCCTCCTCTGGGGCTCTCCTCAGCTCTTCCCAGGAGGGTGGCACGGATGCTCTCGCACTCTGGGGCCTCTGGATGTCTGGAGCCTGGACCTCCTCCATGCCTACTTCATGCCCTGGGGGACGGGGCTATGGCTCTCTACATCCTCTAGCAGATCATTACATGGGGAAACCTTTTGAATACAAGCGCGCTGATCCACACAGGTGTGCACACGGGTGTTCACTGTTCATAGACATAGACTACACCTTTATTGGTGCCATTTCCAAGAACATTGTCGGTCCTGCTTGCTACACAACAACATTCAATATTTAGTATTTACTGCTGTTTACATTTAGCTAGATTAACGTGATGGTATTGTGTTTAGTATGTTGCTCTGGTTTTTTTGTTGTTGCTTGTTTTCTCTTCTTTTTCTCTCAACAGGTGATCCAGGAGATTTTTTAAGTGCCCTTTCTCACTGTCCTTCTTCCCTTCTGTTTTTCTTTTCCTTCCTCTGTCTTTCTCCCTTTCCTATCCCTCAGTCATGTCTGTCCCGTCTGTAACAACTGAAAATAAAATAAAATAAATAATAACAACAAAGGCCGATCAAATGGACCAATACGGCAAGGCCGTGATGATCCATTTGGCAAAGTAAATCTATTGGGTGTCCTTGTTGGTCTTCAGACAACAATTCTGACGGCTAAAGAACCAAATGGGACAGGCAAAAAAAAAAAAAAGAAGAAGAAGTATGAGTTTATTCAAGGCTAGGTACAGTGTTGTGCAAAAGTCTTAGGCCAGTTCTTGTTTCTTTATATTTTGCTTCCCAAGAGCCAGACTGTCTTCTAATTTGCGGTCTTGAGCAATAGTTTTCCACACTTTTGCTTGGGGATTGCCTGCTTTTTCAGTAATTTCCAGTCCAGTCTCGAACATTTTCAGAGGATTTTTTTCCTAAGCCACATAACACCGAGCTGTGTATCATTCAAAGATGAAAAAGGGAAAGTTCATCTCTTAAATTAAGAGATGAAGATTTTGTCAACACATAACAAACAGTTGAGCAAATAACCCATTTTAATTTGTATCATAAGGCAATTTGTTAATAGCAGTTTGTCACAAAAACAAATAATTTCTTGCAATTTCTTTAGCTGAATATACAAAAAACTTAACTGATAACTGAGTTTGACTGGAATAAAATAATATTTTTGCGTCAACAAGGTGATTGCAA